ACCTTCCCAGGCCTGGGTGCCAGCAGTGGTGGAGGCAGCAGCTCAGGGTACGGGGGCCCAGGCCCAGGGCTGGTGCACGGGAAAGAGATGCCCAAAGGGTACCGGCGGTCCCTGGCCCATGCCAAGCCGCCGTATTCCTACATCTCGCTCATCACCATGGCCATCCAGCAGGCGCCCGGCAAGATGCTGACCCTGAGCGAGATCTACCAGTGGATCATGGACCTCTTCCCCTACTACCGGGAGAACCAGCAGCGCTGGCAGAACTCCATCCGCCACTCGCTGTCCTTCAACGACTGCTTCGTCAAGGTGGCGCGCTCCCCGGACAAGCCAGGCAAGGGCTCCTACTGGGCCCTGCACCCCAGCTCAGGAAACATGTTTGAGAACGGCTGCTACCTGCGCCGCCAGAAGCGCTTCAAGCTGGAGGAGAAGGTGAAGAAAGCGGGCAGCGGGACCTCTGCCACCAGGAACAGTGCAGGGTCTGCCGCGTCCACCGCCACCCCGGCCGCCACGGTCACCTCTCCGCCGCAGCCCCAGCCTCCGCCCCCCGAGCCGGAGGCCCAGGGTGGGGAAGATGTGGGGGCTCTAGACTGTGGCTCACCCTCCTCCTCCACACCCTACTTCACCGGCCTGGAGCTCCCAGGGGAGCTGAAGCTGGATGCTCCCTACAACTTCAACCACCCTTTCTCCATCAACAACCTGATGTCGGAACAGACGCCGGCGCCTCCCAAATTGGACGTGGGGTTTGGAGGCTACGGGGCAGAGGGTGGGGAGCCTGGGGTCTACTACCAGGGCCTGTATTCCCGCTCTCTGCTGAACGCATCCTAGCAGGGGCGTGGGAGCATGGCGGGTGGGGTATGCCTGTGGCTCCTACCATCAGGCTGTGCGGCCTGATCCTCCTGGTGACACTTGGCCGGTCCCCCCCAATTGACGTCTCGGTTGGTTTGTGACTCACTGTGGTGACTGCCGCTTCTGCGGGCATCACGTCAATCCATTGGGCACTGTGATAACTGCCTTGGACATCGTGGTGGGCCGTGGGGCGCTGTGAAGGCCTCCACGCGACTGACATTGTTGGTTGGCCCCTTGGGTGCTCTGATGGCCGCCCTGGGGATGACCTCGTGGTTGGCCCTTTGGACACTGTGATGGGCATCCCCGTGGCTGACCCTTTGGTTGCGACGGTGATGCTGTTTCAATTGCAATTTCTTTGGCCCGTTGGGCACCGTGATCACTTCTTTTTGGTGGACTTCTTGGCATAGCAGGTGCCAAGTTGGCCACCATCCCACGTAACACCTGTCTGGGCCCACTGGGTACTCTGATGGCCCCCGTCGTGGCTGGCTGACACATCGATGTACCAGTGTGCGCCATGACGGCCGCCACAGCCCCTGTGTTGGCCCTGCCATCACTGTCTCTTCGGTGAGCGGGGGATGGAGACAGGAACAGGCCCTGGTTTTCTCTGGAGCCCATGGCCCCTCTGGTTCAGGAGAAACCGGAAAGGACGCGAGGGTGTGGGGAATTTCTACTGAAGTCTGGTTCTTGCCTGGGAAGTGGGGTACTGGCTGTGTGTGAACATTAAAGGCACCGTTTCTGCCTCTTCCGGAACGTCTCTTCCTTGGTGGGTGGGCCCCGTGGAACTTGAACACCCGAACTGCTCTTTCCCCGTCCCCTCTCCTTCCTGCCCCCGGGAGCTGGCTGCCTCTGGGGGAGGGGCTGGGGAGGCATCGACCTGATCTTTGGCTCTTGGCTGTCCCTGACCCCAAGGACAGTTTGCTCACAGATAGCAGCCCCCGCAGCAGCGGGGCCAGGGCAGCAGGGGGAGGTGGCCGTGCAGTGACCAAGGCCATCTCCCCACCCCCTCTCCGCAGACACACACCTCACCTCCAACTCTGAGGCCCTGGGGCTGCTCAATTTTGGGTTAAGCTGTGGCGGAGGAGCAGGGACAGACACGGTGTTAACTGAAAGAGACTGTGTGTGTGGGAGCCTGTGCGTGTCTGTGCGTGAGGCCTCTGGGTCACCATCATGTCTGTTGAGGTTCCATAGGGTGTTGTTAACCACTGTTTCTGTCTCATGGTGTTTGTATGTCTGTTCCTACTCTGGGTGTGTGCTTACTGTGGGTGCCTTAGGATACCAGACTCTTGCGTGCGTGTCCGTATGCTGTATGTGGCTCTCTGGGTCTCACTGTTAGGTGTGTGTCTCTGTGTGTCCGTTTGTCTGCGTACCCATGGTCTAAGGCAGTGATGACGAACCTATGACACGCGTGTCAGAGGTGACACGTGAACTCATTTTTTTGGTTGATTTTTCTTTGTTAAATGGCATTTAAATATATAAAATAAATATCAGAAATATAAGTCTTTGTTTTACTATGGTTGCAAAGATCAAAAAATTTCTGTATGTGACACGGCACCAGAGTTAAGTTAGGGTTTTTCAGAATGCTGGCACGCCGAGCTCAAAAGGTTCGCCATCGCTGGGCTAAGGAGTGTGTGACCGTGCTGTGTTGCAGGTGCGCCCGTCATCGAGCTTCCTGTGTATTTGTGTCGGCGTCTGTCTGTTGACAAGAGAGGCCGCTTATGTTTACATATTTTGACTGTCGGCTGTGCGCCTGTCACCGTTGTATGGAGGGTCGCCCGGCCCTGGTGCGTGTCTGTCACTTCTGCAGGCGGGTGTGTGGGGGTGGGGCTGGGTCCTCCCTCGACCACTGAGAGCCTCTGGGGGCCTCTGGCCCTGGGACCGGTGTCGGTTCCTCCAGGCTCTGCCTCGGCTCCGAGGCTGACATCTGTCACTCAGATGTTCTGCGGACGTGGCTCTCAGACACACCGCTGTGCACTGCACAGCCCTGACTTCACAGGGGAGCAACAGGCCCGGGGTCGGGGGGGACGGGACTGGGGTCACGCAGCCAGCCAGGAGCAGGGGGGCATGGTTGTCTGGATGGTGTTTTCCTTAGTTCACATTTGTCTTCCCTGGTCATGGGCTCTATCCCTCGTCCACGTGTCCATTCAAAGACCAAAGGCTGTCTATTTACCCGTGAGTGTGCGAGACGTCTCTCCCAGTGCCTGTGTCCAGCTCTGTCTCTTAATGTCATCTCTCTCTGTCCCTTGGTCCCTAACCTTCCCTCTGTGGCTTTATCTTTGCCCCTTGTTTTTTTTATTTTTTTATTTTATTGGTTTTTTACAGAAAGGAAGGGAGAGGGACAGAGAGTTAGAAACATTGATGAGAGAGAAACATCGATCAGCTGCCTCCTGCACACTCCCCACCAGGGATGTGCTCACAACCAAGGTACATGCCCTTGACCGGAATCGAACCTGGGACCCTTGAGTCCGCAGGCCGACGCTCTATCCACTGAGCCAAACCGGCCAGGGCCCCTTGTTTTTTTTTGAAAATGTTCGCTCATTCTCTACATCTGTCTCTCATGTCATCTGCCTTGCTCCCTATACACACACATCTCTCTCTCTCTCTCTCTCTCATTCTCTCATGGCTTTACCTCTGTCCCTCCCTCTGGGCCTCTGGGCCTTTCCTTTTCTTTCTAGGGGACTTCCTTTTCTCTCTTGGGGTCCACCTCCCCCCGACTCCTTCTTTGGATCTCTGGCCTCTCTCCTCCTCTGGTCTCCCTCTCCCGCTCCCTGAGTTTCCGCTCCTACCTGCCACCTCGCACAGGCCAGGCCCTCTATTTCTGTCACTGTGCCCGCCCTGCCGGCTGCGTGTCACCCCCGCCCCCTGCCGTGCTGGCTCCCTGTCAGCCGTCCCTCCAGCCTCGCTGTCCTGGGCAGGCTGGGGAATTCCTCCTGGTTCCTGGAAAAAACAACTGGGGCCGAGAGAAAGGCCCTCAGTCTCCCCGGGCGCCTGCCCCCCTCCCTCGGGCCTGGGGGTCTCTCCCAGAGTCTGCCGGCCTGAGGCAGGAAGCCCTGCGGTTTCTGGCTTCTCCCAGGCGGCCTCCGGATCTGGCCCCCGCCCCCCGGCCAACAGCCCAAATATTATTCCGCAGGAGGAGTCGGTGGCAGCGGGAGGAGGCCCGGGCTGAAAGAAGCTTTCAGGGCGGCCAGGCCTGGGGCTTCCTGTCCCCAGGCTCGGGCCTCAGGCCGCCCCTGCGGGGACCTCAGGTGGCCGGAGAGGCGGGTGTTGTTGTAGGGTCCTGGGCGGAGGGTGGGGCCATCCGTCAGGGTGTCTCGTGGCCACCAGCTCGGCTGGCGTGGGCAGGTGTGACCCCCACCCCAGGGACAGCCGGCTGCTGTCCAGCGTGGAAAAGTACCATGGCCAGACGTGGGACGCATGGACAGACAGGAGGACGCCAGGGATCGGGGATGGAGGGGTGGCCGTGGGGACACAGAGGAGCCTGGGGACACAGGGACCTGGACACAGTTTGTGGGCCTGAGGTGACACGGTCCATAGGAGGGGTCCCTGGGGGGAAACAGGGCCAGGGTGGGTCCCTGCGGTGGGCCGGGAGCCATCTGCATCAGAAGACAGGAGATGACCAAGGCAATAGGAATAGGCAGGAGGGTTTAGGGTTTACCATGCCAGGCGTCCTGTGAACCTGTTACTGTCGGTGGAATTGAGGTGGGAAGAGGTGATGGACTTACTCCAGCCACACAGGTAGTATGAGTGGGGGAGCTAGACTTGAACCCAGACAGTCTGGCAGAGTCAATGCCCCTGACCGCCAAGCTGTTCCAGAGCCTGGGAGGGGCAACAGCAGCCAGGGGGGCCCTGGGGTCCCCAGCCCTCTCCTAGGCACCCCCGCCACAACCGGCTGCAGGGGGGCTCTGGAAGGTAGCAGTCCGGGCAGTTTACGAGTGCGTACGTGCACGTCCGTGTCAGTGTGTTGCCGGGTGTCATGCATGTATCCTGCTGTCAGGCTGGGTCATTGTGCCTAGGGAGTTGTATGTTAACTGTGATGTGTCTCTGGTCGCCATGTTAGCGTGCGTTGTGTGTGCCTGCATGTGTGTGTGTCAGTGTCTGTCGGTGGGTTTCTGTAGGTGTTGCGGTGTCTGTGTCACGCTGTATGCGTGTGTCCCTGTCCTGTCCTTGTCTTTTGTGTGCCTGTTACAGTGCGTCTTTGTCACTGGGGCCTGTGGGTCTGTTTATGTCTCTGACCCTCTGGGTCTGCCTATATCTGTCTCTGTGTGTCACTGTGTCTGTCCCTCTATGTGTCACCATCTACCCAGGTGTCGCCGCGTTACTCACCGCCCAGGCCACAGGTGGGCGTGTCGGGCCCGCTGGTGCCAGAGCTGGGGCCCACCCCATCCCACCCTCCATGGGCCGGGCCGGACGCCTGTTTGCAGTGCCTGCCCCAGGTAAACAGCAAGATCCGGAAGCCAAGGGCCACCTCCCTCACCTCCGCCCTGCCCCTCAGCCTGCCCTGGACTGGGCTGGACCGCACTGCCGGTGCCCCCGAACTGGACATGTGCCCTGCCCTTCCCCCACCCTTACTCACCAGGCTCCCCAAGCCCCAGCCTTGGCCCCGTCCTGTCTGTCTGTCTGCTCCTGTGTGCGTGCCTCTCTGGGGATCTGCTGGCCTCTCTGTCCCTAATCCTCTCACCTGGGTTTCTCTGGCTGTGCCTTTCCCTAGAATGACCGTTGTCTGCATTCTGTCACTGTCCTTCTCACTTTTCTGTCTTCCCAGTGACGCCTCAGTTCTCGTCTCCACTTGGGCCAGCCTCTTGCTCTGCCAGTCACACCCTGGGTCCCTCTCGGCCTCTCTCCCCTTATACTTTGTAAGTTTCTCTCTCCTGTCGCCGTCCCTCTCAGTCCCAGCCTCTCAGTCCCGGCCTCTCAGTCCCGGCCTCTATTCCTCTGTCTCCGAGCCGCCAGCCAGCACAGGAGCAGACGTCTGCCTGCCCAGGCCCCTCAGGGCAGTGTGTGGCCCCCAGCCCACTGGGATATGTGTATATATATACACACACACATATATAGAGGTATATGCACGTAGTATTTATATCTGCACCCGGGGGCAGAAGGGCAGACACTGGGGCCTTTGTGTTGCTGCTGCTGCCCAACCATCTGTATCACCATTTTCTGAAAATGAGACTCAATGACTTAGACTCATGGTTGAGTCAGTGAAATATGGACAGTCTAATGGCACCCTTTGAAATTACTTTCCCTTTTCTGCCCAAATGGTTCAGATAGAAAAGGCCACAGTTTCTCATAGGGGCAATCTTAAAATGTTTTCCGTAGCTTCATTTAGATTAAGTATGGTGGAAAAAAAGACTTTAGACAAGTGTGACACACCTACCTCCAGAAAAGCCACTCCTCCAACTTAATTTGCTACACTGTAAGTTAATCTTTACATTTATCACAAGATCTCACTAGACCAGTGATGGCGAACCTTTTGAACTTAGTGTGTCAGTACTTTGAAAAACCCTGACTTAACTCTGGTGCCGTGTCACGTATAGAAATTTTTTGATCTTTGCAACCATAGTAAAACAAAGACTTCTATTTCTGATATTTATTTTATGTATTTAAATGTCATTTAACAAAGAAAAATCAACCAAAAAAATGAGTTCGCGTGTCACCTCTGACACGCGTGTCATAGGTTCGCCATCACTGGCCTACAGGGCCCCCCGATGCTCCCTCATTGTCCCTCTAACCTCACTCTGATGACTCCCCCCCTTGCCATAGCTGCACTGGCCACGTGGAACCAACCAAGGGCCTTGGCCTGCCTGAGGTGTGAGTGGGCACGCCACGGGTGAGGCGGGCAGGGGGGCCTGGGGGATTTTTCCAGCTCCGGGGAAGCTTTCCGGGTGGGGAGGGCTCTGGAAGAAGCGGGACTTCTCAGCTGGGCTACTGTGTGTGTGCTGTCCTGGGCGTCCCCAGGGAGTCTGTCCGTTCAACCTAACGTCACTCTGACTTTCTTCTCTGCCGGTTTGGGTCCTCCTCTGCCATTGAGCGTCCGTGCTAGGTCCTCTGTTGAGCCCTGGACACAGATAAACGAGCTGCTGTCCAGCCCACCGATGCTTTGCCATTTCTGTCTCACGTGCTCCATCCCTTCTCTCGGTGCTGGAGACCCTCTGCCTGTTCAAGACAAAACCCAAAGTCCTTGCCACGGCCTGCAGCAGTGACGGCGAACCTTCTGAGCTCGGCGTGTCAGCATTCTGAAAAGCCCTGACTTAACTCTGGTGCCGTGTCACGTATAGAAATTTTTTGATCTTTGCAACCATAGTAAAACAAAGACTTCTATTTCTGATATTTATTTTATGTATTTAAATGTCATTTAACAAAGAAAAATCAACCAAAAAAATGAGTTCGCGTGT